CGGCTCCTTTGAATAAGAGAGAACCTGTAGATCATGTTTTTGAAGTATTCATAAAAAATAATATCAACTTTTTGACTTGTTGGTTTCAGAAAATGTAATTTAAGAGGTTTGATTTTTCCTCCCAGTTCAGCGTTTGATGTGTTATAAATTTAGAAACAACAACAATAAAAAAAAAAGCCCATTAGAAACATTGGTCAAAAGAAAGTGTGTCATCCCCCCCTCCCCTCAATCAGAGGTGATAATGTGTTGCCCCCACCAATCAGAAGCTGAGGGTGTGGATGACCTTGATGCTGGGATGCAGGAGGTCACTCGGTGACGGATCATACTGAAGACAGAACGAGGAGAGTTAACGAGGCTCAGAGAAAGGTGCTAATTTAGGGGGAGGGGCTTGATAGTGTTAACATGTGTGTGAGAGTCAGTGTGTGTGTGTGTTTATGCATGAACATCCTCTGATGTTATCTCAGTGGTCCGTACTGTAGATAGCAGGAGTGCACCCTCACATGGTGAGAACAGACGGTACTAAAGAGCTGCACAGCTGCACAGAAAGTGCACGTTGTGGATGTTACTGAACACAACAGAAAACATCCCACAGGTAAAGGAGAGAAAGCAAACATAAACCAAGAAATCAAGAAACCACCAATCAGAACTAATGCAGAACTTCACTGAGTAACAACTCAGGGTGTTAGTCTGTGGAACAACTGTGAAGACGAGCTGAAAAAATACAACACTATATTTAAACTAAAAAAAAAGTCTTCAGGAATAAAATATTGACTAGATATGAGCTGGAGCAGTGACTTCCTGTTTTTTCTGTTTTTCTATTCGGTTATTTCTTGGCTGGTGGTCTTGGTTAATCTCTTCCCATTATTTTTGTTGTTGTTTTGTCTAAAACTTAATTTGTTTTGGCCAACAAGTCCAACATCACACACTGATCGATGAAAACATTTAGATTTTTCTGTGAATAATGCACAAAAATAAGAAGGGGTAGGACCAGGAAAGTTTTTAACTTCTTCCTATCTCTTTTGAACATGAACTTTATTATTTGAGTTATTTATTTGTTGCTATGGATCCTGAGGATCCATTTAGTTTTTATGTTTTGTTTTTTTCCTTTTAATTTTGTGTTTGTATTTTCTTAACATGTTCAATAAATTGACTAATAATAATAATAATAATAATAATAATAATAATGATAGGTAGACAGTTTGAACCTTAGTCTCTCTCTGGGACATCCCCCAAAACAGACTGTGTCCTATCTACTGATGCCACTTCAGATTGTAGAATATGAAGCCTTTAAAGGAGCAAAATCGTTTAATTATGAGGACAACACCCTCTGCAGATCAACAGTTCCTAGTTGCTGATATAAATCATTTAAGTCAGAAGCATTGGTCAAACAGAATCCCTGAAGCTTAACGTTGTGGATGCATTTACAATGATCTCTTTAAAAATAGTGGAGGCCCTGTAGAAGCTGATTCAATAACTGGTGACAGAACAGGAAGTCCCTGTCTGTCCACACTGTGACACTGACCGTCAGAATGGAGAGCAGCTCCTGGATGGGCAGCTCGGCCCTCAGTCGCTCTTTGAAGGTGCGGATGGACTGATGCTTCAGGTAGTAATACGACGAGATACGACCGTACGTCAGCGGCTCGATGGTGCGATCATCCTGAAGCATGAACACAAAGAAAAGACGTTAAGAGAAACAAAAACTTGATCATCATTGGATCATTTCACACTCTATATTTCACACGTACCTCTTTGATCTCGATGCAGTAGGAGCACTCCAGGTCGCGCAGGCTTCTCTCCACCAGGGTGGACAGGAATTTGTTTATGGACTCGTGGCTGATGTCTTCTAGGCTGTAATAACTGACCGACACAGAACATTGAGCATGATTACAATAAATCAGAATAAAGTCCTTACTGTGAAAACCCCCCGAGCACAGTTTGTGTATTTGATGTGTTAAACGCAGAAAATGTGTTTTCTTACACGCTTCATGGTGCCTTTAATCTCCCTCTGTCCTGCAGAACTTTTCTATAAGGAGGCTCGGGAAGATTTAAATACAGGCTGACACATTTAAGATGTTCTGAGTGATGATCCGGGGAGTTTAAGTAGACACACATGCTGAGGGTCGACTTCTACAGCTTCAATCATACCTCCACACTCACTGTGTTAACATGCACACTGCAGAGTTTCCTGGTGCTGTAAAGGTTACGGACCAATCGTACAAACTTTGTGTGTATGAAGCAGTTTACGAAACACATGAGAGAGGGAGCTATACGTGTATTTCAACTGTGTTCAAATATTCAGACGTTTGATCTGCTCTATGACCGAGGATGGACGTGTCGACATTTATTAGCTGATCATAAAAAAGCAGAAACGTCTTATGTGCATGGAGAGGCATTTTGACAGACTCATGCAAACAACTTAAAGGAGACATATTATGAAAAATCCACTTCTACAGTCTGAACATTTATCTGTGTAACCTGAGAGTCTACTGACCCACAACATGTGAAATAAACCCATCCAGTCCTTTGTTTGTGGTCTGCATAAGTCTTACAACACAGAGAAAAATGCTTCGTTTATAATGTGCTCTCCTTGTGATGTCACAGTGGGATTCTGGTAAAAAAAAAATCCCCTCCCCTCCCCTGGTATCTCCACCCATGGACTCCACCCCCAGACTAGAGCAAAACTTTAAAGCAGGTTGGCCATTTTTATTCTCTCTACAGAGGAGTGATGTCTACAGGGGAAAACTCAGGGGGGGTCATTACATTTAAAGAGACACACACACCAAAACGGAGCATTCTGAGAGAGCTGGTTTATACAGGGTCACAAACCTCCTCTGGTGCTTGATTCATGTTATATTTTGACCAAAGCACAGCACAGATGTTTCATTTAGACCACAGGGGACTGTTTGAAAAGGTGGAGGAGGAGGACTGTTTGAAAAGGTGGAGGGGGGAGGATAATATGTCCTCTTTAATGGTAAATGGACTGGAGCTTGTATATAAAATCACCACAGATAACACGGCAGATTAAGATGGCTGTGTGTACTTGTTGTTTGTTAAAGCCTGGTGCACTGCGTTGTCTTGCCAGAAAATGATTCCCAGGTTGGACTGTTATTTCCTGCAGTAAGACAACCTGTGGCCACAATGGCTTCCATGCCCAGCCCTGCTGAGTAAGAGTTACCACATGAGCTCGGCGAGCTGCAATCAAAGACAATCTTCATTAGCTCATAATGCCAATATTTGTGCAAGGTGTGTGTAAGGCACATAAAAGAGTCAAAGAGAGCAGGAGGAGTGTTTTCATTCAAGGCTGTAGGAACAGATGCTGAGAAGCCTAAAGGGATGTTTGTTCAGAAACATGTTCAACTCTTTAAAAATGGTTTATTTGGGCTTTTCTCTTTGGAGCCATGTGGATGTCATATGGCTATATTTTATACCTTTAAGGAAATACTACTTTATGACTTTAAAACTGGATCCCGTCCTTCTATTTATTTCAGAAAGTTAAATCAGCTTTTACAAACTTATAACTGTCTTTACATGGAACATTTGGATACCAAAGTCTGAATCGATCCAGAAAGTTTCACCTCCTGCTTATAGAAATGTGTTTAAGATTATTTTTAAGATCTAAAATTAATATATGCCCAGGCCAGACGGGATGTACCCCGGGGACTCCTCCCAGTTGGGCGTGCCCAGAAAAGCCTCCAAAGGGAGATGTTCAGGAGGATCCTAATCAGTGGTTTGAACCACTTCAACCCGCGGTAGCTAACGGGTTATTAAATGGCCGACAGGGTACTTGGTGCCCAGCCTATACATTCTCAGGTGAGCATGGTTGAAGGAACATACCATAAAAAAATGAATCAAAACTCTGTGGCACACTGAAAATAACTTGACTGTATGTTAAGTGTCTGCCTACAGTGAAGTAAAGTTATTTTCAGTGTGCGACAGAGCTTTGATTTACTTTTCAGGGTTATTATAAAAGCTTTTAAGCTCATAATATGGACCCGATGTGTCTCTTGTTAATGTCATCGTCTGAGTGGTTTCTTGGAAACTGAGCAGTTACTCAGAGATGAAACTTCTACACGGCCTGTATCTACTAAAGCCGTTGTTTTGCGTTGGCAGTGCTCATGACCTAAGAGTCTTTCTTATCAGCACTTATTGTTGCTAGGTTACAAAAGTGAAGTTCTAATGGTTGTTTGATGTGTATTAGACAACGCTGTGTGCTCAATTTTTGCTTTTTATTCGCAAACATCAACAAGAAAACATGAAATCAATGAAAGGAATAATGTCCTCGCATTAGCAGCGGCTCTAGACCTGGAAACTGTTCCCTTAAAAAGACGAGTTAGGGGGTGCCGGTCAGTGAGTGGTGACCTGTGGCTCCTGTCCCTGATATCTGAATCTATCCACTGCCCTGTCTCTACAATAAAGGCAGAAAAGGCCTAAAAAATAAATCTGAAAAAATACAGCCTCTTCTCGATTCTGATTGGTCGGTGAGAGAGAAGTGACATTGACGAGTTATAGCTGACCCTGAGGGTGTTTTGACGCTCTGTGTTGTGAGCGTCGACTCTGAACTGCGCTGGTTCTGTGTTGAAATTGCAAGAAGCTGAAATTGGACAGAGGTCCTTATACCCGGGGAATAACAGCAAGACACAAAAACAACATTTGGGCTTCTCGCCCTGAGTGTGACGTCAACATGGCCGCCGAGGGAACGTCTGCTGGTCAATATCACAGGAAGTCACCAGTTTATTTTCAACTTACACATGATCTGAATGTTTCTAGGCGCGCTGAGGGAGCAGTTTATGGTCAAGAATCTGTGCGCTTCATTTGATTTAATGTTTATTTTCCTGCTTTGACATGTTTGTTTTTATTGTTCTAACTCTTAACAACAAACAAAGACAACAACCGGACCCCAGTGGAGCATAAAGTCGTGTGGGTAAAATCAAAAAGGGAGAGACAGCAGCGCTGAAAAACAAACGTCTCGGTTAACAGGTGGAGGAGGAATATCAGATGAGGGGGATTTTGCATATGTCTGCATAATGCATACAGACCTCTGACAAATCTCCCACTCCTCATACTAAACAAATGATATCTTCATGGTCATTACACTGAATCATTTATTGTGCAGTCGGGAGCAGGGGGGGAGGGGGAGGGGTCGGAGCATCACTCGTGGGCTGGAAGCAGCCGTTGAGATGTCTGATGGTGGTGTTTAATGTGCGATTAATGTTAAGTATTTCTTTCATTCCCATCGCTCCACATGTTAACAGCACTGAACGACTTTATTACCCATCACATCTCACAGGTCTGCACCGGGAACACGGCCATTAGCGTCATCACCATTAGGCTCCTGATGGTGCAGGGAGACGGCCTGCAGACGCTAACGACACCCCAGGGACACCCGCCTGTGTTTGTGTGTGTGTGTGTGTGTGTGTGTGTGTGTGTGTGTGTGTGTGTGTGTGTGCGTGAATGCCGTGGTGATAGATAAACTGTTCATATAGAAAAAACAGCCAACACACTGTCAGGGCATCTGTGTGTCCAGAGGTAAAATTTAAGACTTTAAATATGACGTGAACCTGTAAATAAGAGTTCTGACATATCAATAAAGAGCGTTAAATAAACAAAATATGTTCCTTATACTGGTAACACTTTCTGTTCTGATTTAATGAAATGCACGAGAGTCTAAGATTTTAGCATAAACTGAGATTGTAAACGTTAAATTATACAGATTATGACGGCCCCTGAACAACCCTTTGTGGATGTTTTTCAGCTTTACAATAACCCTGACGACACCAAGAAGACAGGAGAGAGAGCACACATAATCTGAGGCAGGAAATGTTTCTGATCACCAAGTCAGAGCTGGAGGAGGAAGTGTGTAGAAAAGAGAGAAACTGGTCCACTTTTCAAAACCAGCAACAAGAACTCAACGGATGGATTAATGGATGGGAACTAACTAAATGTTGAGTTTTTTAGGAGCTTTATAAACAGATATCTTCATATGAATGGTGGCGCCAGATAGTTTAGCGGATATCTCGCACGCCCCATGTACTGTACAGAAGCTGTACTGTGGTCCCAATCGCAGCGGGCGGTGGGTTTGAATCTGACCTCTGGCCTTAGCTGCTCGTCATCATTTGCCTCTACTGTATCTCTTCAGCTGTCCCCCAAAATTATAACATGAATGCAGAACATGCAGGCTAGGGGGGAAATTGAATCCCATCTATTTGAGATAATGAATACTGTGATTATGCAGAGACAATTAAAACTCATAAAATCATACATTTAGTGCAGAAAATGCACGATTACCCCGTTTAAGATAAATAAATAAGCTTTAACATCACTAAGTAAAATTTGACTTTGGGGCTTTTTAAGCATTTATCTGAGAGACAGGACAGTGGATAGAGTCAGAAATGGAGAGAGAGAGTAATTGAGAGAGAGAGAGAGAGAGAGAGAGAGAGAGAGAGAGAGAGAGAGAGAGAGAGAGAGAGAGAGAGAGAGAGAGAGAGAGAGAGAGAGAGAGAGAGAGAGAGACAGAGAGAGAGAGAGAGAGAGAGAGAGAGACAGAGAGATTGAGAGATTGAGAGAGAGAGAGAGAGAGAGAGAGAGAGAGAGAGAGAGAGAGAGAGAGAGAGAGACAGAGAGAGAAAGAGAGACAGAGAGAGAGAGAGAGAGAGAGAGTAGGGAACGACACCCGGTAAAAGAGCCACAGGTTGGATTTGAACCTGTGCCGCCCACCTGCAGCCTCTGCACATGGGGCGTGCGCACCACAACTTTTAAAACCTGTTTTCTTTATGTAAAAAAGGGGGGTGCATCACCTATGTGGAAGCATAGATATGATTGCCTTATACCTATTTTTTAACTTGTATGTGTGTTGTTGTATGTCTTTAAAAAAAAACAATAATAATAATATGTACCAATATAACCAAAAACAGTAAATAATGCAGAGATATACTCCTTCATGACTGCAGCTTCCAACATCACCCACTGTACACAACCTGACAGGGAACCTGCTGGGACTGACAGTGAAGGAGACGAGGCTGCTGGTAACTCTTTTTAAACTGTTTTTCTCCGTCATGTGGTCATAATCCAGCGTTAAACAGTGGTAAACTGATAAGTGAATAAACCCTGAGCTGATTTGATCGTGGTTTATCACCAGTAAACTCCTGAATCTTTGATATTATTAAAACTGATGACAGATTGAATCAGAAGAGATGGATGTCCAGTTTCACAGACCTGTACTGGTCCACTGTTTCTGCTCGGCCTCAGAAATGACCTGCACGCTGAATGCGGGCTGACAGCCGTGTAAATACCAACAGGCTGGAATGTTCTGGAACTGTTTCTGTCCACACAGCAGATGTTTGACGGAGGCACACGGCCCTCCTCTAACCAGGCTGTGTGAGTAGAACAAGAATGTGTGCATGTGTCTCTTCTTTGGTTTTGATGTGCGTGAACTATCGGGTCATGAAATGTGCTAGGAGCTGTTTTTTTTTTTTTTTTTTGTCTAACCTGGGGTTCATCATCAGCCGCCTGAAGAAGTAGGTCCAGGTGATGTAGTCCATGGCGTCCTGTTTGGAGGCGATGGTTCCAGCAGCGATCTCAGCGTTCAGATGGTCAGAGAGCACGCTGAGGAGGCTGAGGATTCAAAAATCATCAGATCAGAAACAAACAAACTCTGACAGACCGTCCTTTAGAAACCACTTCTTCTGGATCTGAAGCTGCATTTATAACCACGATAGTTTCAGTTTTTTGTGCAGAGAACCTCTAAAGGACCATGTACGTATATAACCTGGTTAATGATTACTGTCCATCATAGAAGTAATTATAAAAACACTGTGATAACTTCTTGTATCTATGGAAGACAATAACGACCAGGCATAATAAAAGTATGAGGAGGAAGATTTCTGTACTGTCACTTTAAAATGCAATAAAAAAGTTCCTCCTCTGACATGCTTTCCCCCAAAAACATGCACTGGAATCAAAACATTCCACTTGATTCCTCACAGTTTTAATAAACGCTGATGAAACTTTGATTCCTTTCTGTTGCACTGATGTCTGATCTGTTTGCTGCTAATTTTTTTTTTGTAATATCATTTTTATCCACCTCTGCAACGGCTTATTTTGATGGAAAAGTTCTTTAGTTGCTGGCTTTATCCTCAAGCTGAAGATGAACTTGCTTTTGACTACGAGTACACGTGTTCATGATGGCTGCCTCCCATCCTCTGCGTCTGTTTGGTACGTCAGTCCTTAAAAACTAGCGCAACAATGATGCTAGATGCATTAGGGTATGTGTCTGAGTCGATACAGCAGCAGAGACAACAATGGCAGAAAGTTTTGGAGACAAGTTGAAGCATCAAGTTTGCAGAAAAATCTGTGCGATGCGTCTGTCACTGCCACTGCACGGCTACAAAATCAAACTAGCTGTGACAGATAAGTGTTATTGTAGAAGTCGATGAGGAAACCTGCAAAATTAAACAAAAACAAAGAGTAACCCTGTAAACTTGAGACTTCAGTCGATTGGCTGTATTTCAATATATTATGTCTTTCTTGAAATACAGATCTGATGACTATATTTTGACCTTATAATGAAACACTAAACAAAGAAGAAACATTCATAACGACTGGTTCCCACATCTGCTGTAACCTCGACATCTACAGACACATTTGGCTTTTAAATCGACAATAAACAGGGTCACTCGTTTATCTGAAACATCGACACCATCATGTCTGTGCACAGAAGAAAATGTTGGAGGAATGGAGTGAGGACGGTGCTGACGGTGAGTTCTGACCATCAGCCATCAGTCGCCTGAGAGCTGATCTGATGTCACTATTTATCTATTGAAGTTAATGTCCTGTTATATCTGATCTCAGTGACCTCTCGTCGTTGCCGTGTCTGTTGTTTACATCCTGCACATCAGCTAGTTGTATAAAGCCTGAGCTCTCTGGGGCGCCCTCTAGAGGTATCCTCCGGTAACACACTTAGTGCATGTTCAAGTTTACATACAAGTAGTCTCATGATGCAGCAGGTTGAGCACAAAGTTTAAGAGCAAGTATACCTCCAGATTTATTGTGTCCTGCGAAACATGAAGTCATGTGATGAGAGAGATGTGATGTATTTAGAGTTTGTCCAATGAGGAAAGGAAAAGAAGTGTTACCTGGACTCGACCGGGAACGGCTCGTAGAGGAACTTCTTGTAGAAATCCTTCTTGATGTCGTGGACGAGGATGACCGCTTTGCCCTGATCGTCAAACTGAGGCCGACCTGCTCGCCCATCATCTGCAGAACGTCTACACACACACACACACACACACACACACAC